TATGTGCGTGTGTGTGTGTGTGTTTAGTTATCAGTTTATTTTTTCGTGGAGTGTGTATCGACGTGGGGGCCTGCTTTTGTCGAGGAAACAAGCGTTGTTTATATGTGTTTGGTATGTTCTTTACAGGCTTTGGCGTCGGTATACAGCCGCAGAACTAAGATGATTTTTCAGATCATCCTACTGTATTGTAAGTGATGCACAAGCTGTTAGGGTTGTGAATGACATGATAAAGGCGAAGACACCCCCCCCCCCCCCCCCCCNNGGGCTTGTTCCCAACCTCGAACCTCAAAGCCACACGCACTTCAAACATTTCGGGGACGCACAGGCCATTCCCCAGGGCTAGGTCCAAGCTCAAAAGACTCTGGCTCCCTGGCCGTGGAGAGGAGGAGGGGGGGGAGGTAAAAACACAAGTTAAATTATCTGTTTGTGCTTGCCTCCCCGCCGCCCCTCGCACCTTCCCCGAGGCCAAGCACTTTCCGCGCAGTCTCTCTCTGCCGTCTACAGTGCAATCGCTGTACAAGAAATGATTGGATTAGAAATGTTGGGGCTACATCAGCCGGACAAAGCAAAAAGCCGAAAATGTAAACTGCCTTCTAGCCTTCTACAGGTAGCCAGGAAATGAAGTTCGTTTCTTAATTCTGGTGTTTTCAAGCCTCGAAGAAATGTGGGGGGGCTACGTTTCTTATTTCGGGTGGTTTCCAGGCCCTGCGCCTACGGCACAGGGCAGAAGCCAAAATAAGAAATGTAGGAGCTACGAAGACTGAAGTGTAATATCATACAAGCTTGGCGGTGTCTGTCTAGCCTAATGATTAAGGCCTATGGCTCAGCACCTAGACTTCCATGGGCTCGAGGCCCGGAGAAGAAATTATTAAGAAATGAAGGGTACCCTACGACTTGGGAGCTGGGAAATACGGAAATGTGAAACTGAAAAGGATCTAAGAAATGAAGGGTACCCAACGCTGGGAGCTATCCAGCAGATGCACTGTACTCCGCAATATCAATTTTTCTTGTTTTACTCTCGTGCCGTCTCGTCCTGTCCTGTCCCGTCTCGACATGGAAAAAATTCGGCCGGACGACGTCCGGGGGCAACATCCGCAATGCCGCAAGTTAGACATGTCCAAAACCAGCAAAGCCGAGCGGCTAGACAAGGTCTGCGCACCCAGGCAAAGACTTCTTGAACTTGAACGATAACGAGCATGTGTTGCAAAGTCATGGATCTCCTATGGGTCCAACACTGAGATGATTATGTCATGTTTACTTCTGAACATATTGTAAATATAGCAACATGAAGCAACTTCCTCTTTCGCTGTTCGTAGAGGCACGTGGTCAGCGAGAAGGTATGTGTGGATGTGTGTGTGTGTGTGGCCTTTGTCTGTGTCCTTGTGTCGGTGCTTTTCTGTGACTGTGTGCCTGACTGTCCGACGTTCGGACTGTCTCACTGTCACTATGTCCGGGTCCGTGCGTCCGTGTGCTGACAGCGCAAGCAAACAAGCACTCAAGACCAGGCATTCATATTGCTGGAGCCAGACACAGTGGCATGTTGCCTCATGATACCTCCCCTCTGCTGTCTTGACTGATTGCACAAACTGCATGTCTTGCACGGGCTATAATAGCAATGTTTTATGCGAGTAACAGCATGAGGACGCCCGAAACACCTGAACACAAGAAGACCAAGTGGCGCAGCGACAGTATCATCCTTCTTCAAACAAGTCGACATTACCGCCGCTGCGGATTCCGTGGGTAGGTTGGTACCTGCCAGGCTCGACAGCTCAATGAGGCACTGAGAGCAGATGCTTTGCCTCCCAAGATGTCCAGGACTTTCGGAATGGAAACGTCCTTTAGCCAGCTCAGGCTCAGACTTCACAAGGCAAGGCTGCGGAAAAAAAAAAAAAAAACAACTCCGTCCCCGCTCCTTCTTGTTGCAGGATGCATCAAGCATAGCAGCAGCGGATGCTGGACTGATGGAACGTCCCATCTCCTGCACCTCCTGTATGCATTTCATTGCCAATTTCAGGTGGCCTCCCTGGAGAAAGCCGCGGATAGCAGCATTCAAGCCGGAGGTCCACGTCTCAGAGTCTGGCTCCCTCCGGGCAAGATGTGTCGTAACTTTGGCGTAGAGTCCCTTGGCAGCGAAATGGCCCAAGATCATGTCTTGAACCTTGGCTGTAATCGCAGACTGCATCTTCTCCGCCTGCATCTGCTCGATGAAGGTCTGGGCCAAATCCGGGTCACGGCCTGCCTTCAAAATCGTTGCCACGAGGCCATGTGTGTTCGAGGGACGAGCCATCAGAGGATGAAGGGACAGGTACTGCGTGAGCTCGTCGGCTAAGCGGCTTGGCTCGCAGATGGTCAAAGCTTCCGCCACTGCTTCCAAGGCCACCAGCTGAAGGCTGGGTGCACCGGCTTCCGCCCTTACCTCATTCCACTTGGCCAAGACAGCTTGATGGTCACCAGCGTCGCTGCGATCACAAATTGCTTGGGTGGCGCGGCAGCGCTGCTTGTTGGCGCCTGGCGAATTGCCAGCCTTGTTGCCTGGAATGCGGCAAGGCAGGAGTCACAGCGCCTTCAGCTGTCCTACAAAGTTGCCAACTCCATGCAATCGAGATGCTTTTGGTCTTCAGAGCCTGTGGAGTCCAGAGCTCGATTCGTGCCGGAAGAAGGTTGTAGCGTAGCGCCAATCGAAAGAGAAGGAAGCCGGCCGCAAACCAGGCAGCTTCGTTGACACAGGACCTCATGAGGATGCACTTGCGCCAAGTACTGCCCAAAAACGAGACCGAGTCGTGCCAACACTGGCAATCTGGACTCTAGATGACTCGAGCGGTGAAGAAGGTACTGCTTCAACGCTTGAACAGCTTGCCACTCGGCCAGCTGAGGAGCCAAATCGTGCCGATAACGGACAATTCCTCATCCATACCAGCCAATTCGGTACTGGAGGTCGTCATTGATGGAAATCACGCTTTTGGCTGAGCGCTTTTGAACCTTGGTCATGGCCACGGACAAATGCCACATCTGCTACACAACAGCGACTTCTGAATATCTCGCCCACCCTGCTTCGGGAAGCTGCGTTCTCTGAAAGATGGGGTTCAGGACCGTAGGGGTGTCACCTGCACGGCACGGAGTACCAAGTCCATACTCGCCACGGCTGCACAACTGAGGTCTCGGCGAGTCGCTGAAAGAGCTTCAACGGCTTAGAGCGAAAAGCAAAGTAGCTCTGGCTGAGAAATATGCAACAGGCAAAGAATGTCAGCATGAGCTTGCTTGCATTGGCTTGAAGCCGGTGCACTCAGCAACCTTCATCTGTAAAGCCTCACCTGTCCCATCACAGGGGTTGCAACTACTTCGAAAGAAACCCCAGTCGAAGACGCGGGATCTTCGGCTGTTACGTTAGCCCATGCCAGCAAAATACCAGTGCAAGCTCAGCCTGTTTATGGTGTCTGTGCTTTGGGAATCTTACTCGGGTTCAGTCAAGTCCAAACCCTGCTCCTTTTACCGGTTGCTGAATTCAAGACCTGACGTTTCCGTTCCGGAAAGTCAGACCTGGTACAAATTCTGGCGCTGCTTCGAGGGGATACCCAGGCTAATTGAACGTGCTGTTGCGGAGGGGCGCAGGGCTATAACACATAGTCATAGGCTGGCACACCATGTGCCGTTACTCTGACACGACTGAAACTCAAACTCAAAACATGCCTCCTGGACTGCCATCGCTTTTGAGATGGCACATGGCTCATGGGCCGTAGACCCCTCTAGCAGCCTCAGTGTTAGCCACCGAAAAAAATCGAAGCCGATGCTTGGGTTTTGGAGGTCTTGCTCTTTGACAAAAAGTACAGATTTCTGCAGCTCTTTCAGCTCCGTAATCTGATCCCACGAAAGTCCACCTCTCAAGCCCCGACGATCGATGAAGACCCTACTCACGACGGACTGCTATTATGCAAGTCAACAAAAGAAGCCACTCAGAAGTCCGCCGTTCGCTGGCTTCGCTGCCAACCGTACCTTTGGGCGGAACTGTCACAGTGTCTTCGAAATTGCTATCCTCCAACGGGATGACCAACCCATCGGGTGCGGGTCCCGAGCTTGTGAGCACGAGGATCAGCAGTTGCCGGGCTTCGGCCGGCAACTCAGTTGCCGGGATTGTCAAGGAATAAACATCTGTCTTGCAGCAACCATCGGGCCAAAGACTCGAAGGACCACCGGAGGTGCGAGGCGGCACCGTCAGAATCGCTGGGAAATCCCTCAGTGGGATGCCGCAGTCATCGGCCCAAAAGACCTCATAGCTCAAAACGCCATCTTCGTCTGTCCGCCCATCTAACGTCGAGGGCCCAAACTCGATCCTTCCTCCCACGAAGCCTCTTCTAGTGTCCGTATCGGAAAAGCCGGCAGCACCGCAAATTACTGGGGAGTAACAACCGCGCAACAGTGGCTCCTCTGCCCGACACTCGCAGAGCTTCGCTGCTTGCCCTACGTATCCGGCCAAGCATGTCCATGCCCCGAGAGCCGGGGCAAAGCCAGGAGGGACCACTGCCGGATCCGGGCAAGTGCAAATTGGACGTGTCCAAATCGCCCGCATCGTCGGATCCGTGTTGTGCGCTGGGCATCGCGCCACAGTCATCTGTCCTTCGAGTGGCCTGTTGCACGCAGTATCGCAGCTGTCACCGGCATCGAGCATAGGCCCACATGTAGTGTTAAGCTCACAGTCGTTCGACGCGATCTCGGGGGAAAGGCATGGCACAATCTTGGCACATCCAGTGAAGCTGCCCTCGACAAAGCAAGTGTCAGTGCTGTTTGGCAGCAGTTTGGCTGCGCACTCCCGAATAGCCGGACCAGCAAAGCCTGCAGAGCATTCGACTGGCTCCAGAATGTTGCCAGTATATCTATATTCTTCCGGTATTCCATTGGTCGGATCCGGGCACGGAGCTTTCACGAAACACTCGGGCAAATCTGCATCCACCATCCTGGTGGGATCCGTGTTACCGGCAGGACAACTGCCGGTTGCTGAGCTACCTCGAAATGGATGTTTGCAGTGTATTTCGCACGTCGACCCAGCACTGACCTCCCTGCAATCATCCATGTCGTACATACAAGGGATCTCCGCTGCTTTTGGGATGCAGGGTTGAATAGGCAAGCATCCCGATGCCTGGAAGTCAGCAACGCAGCTCGCACCGACTTCCGTCACTGTGCAGCTGACGGTCGGGGTGCCCAGGTAGCCCTCTCCGCATCGCCAGCCTGTCTGCAGAGAACCGACATACCCTGGAGGAGGCACCGCAGTGCACTCCGGCACACAGTTTGGTAGCGACCTGGCCGGTTTTGGCGGACCCCAATCATCCAAACACATCGAGCTAAGGCATGCTACGCAAGTGCGGCCGGGAAGACAGGACTTGCAGCTCCTGCTCAGGGTCAACGTTGCCTGAAGAAAGGGACGAAGTGTGGGTGGTATGATGCACGAACATCACAGGAGCTTGAAACGGTCCGCACCTGCAGGACATAGCGCAAGGCCAACTTGTGAGCTGCTGGCCGTGTAGAAGGGTTCCTAAGGCTACGATGCCCTTTCAATCTTCGATCGACCTCTTCACGCTTGTGCTTTTCTCCTTCTCCTGATTTTATTGCCGGGGCTCCAAGCAACGCACCTCACAGCTCTGCCCATCGACCGCTGAAAGGCACGAGGTGAAATCCTAACCAAGCGGACCAAGCAGGCAGAGTTCTCAAAGCAGAGTCTTGCTCACCGCGCAAGCTTTGCCCCGAACGCTAGATGAACTGAGGAAGCCCTTCCCACTAGCCCAGTGACGTAGCGACAACGATCGCGGCTTCTCGGCAAGCTGCACGGTTGTAGCTTGGTGCAGCCTGCACCCAGCAAAGGCGCGGTGCCCTTTCACCATCCACACACACACACACACACGTGAGATCACCTCAACGAGACGTGCCTGAAAGGGCCACCTCACGCTCACAGTTGACATCTGTCGTGCAGCTGCGCACTGCAGAGCCGAAGTAGCCTGCAGCGGTGAAGGCCCCAGTCCGGTAGTGAAACAAAGCTGCTACTCAAGAGAACACGAGCCTAGAGGCCTAGAGCAACGTGGGAAACAGGCATTGAGGAGGCCATTGCTGAACCCATTCAGGCCTTCTGCACACTCCCATCCAGCTGCACCATGTTGATAGCCTGACAAAGCCAAAACAGTCATCGATTCGGCCCGTTCGGTCACAACAAATATTCTGCGGACCCTCTTTTTTCAGAGGCACAGCAAGTTTGTGCACAGGCCTTCTGGAACTGGATCATAGCATTCTGGCAACACGCAGTCGGGTGGTGTCCAATCCAACCCTGGGAGAGTCAAAGCTTCTCAGAGCTCAGGACATGCGGCAATCGGCTGCGTCGCTGCGTGGCCTTGTCCAAAGAGGACGTTTTCGTGAGGGCAGCGTGCGATCGTCGGGTCTCCAACAAACGGAAAGCGGCCTGGCAGCGAGAGGAGACCAGAGACCCCTGACATGGTAGAATGCTCTCTGCCAAGCAGCAGAGCACCGTGCACGAAGAACCGGGGTCCAGCAAATTAGCGGGGCAGTCGAAGCTCTCTATGCTGCAAGCGTCCTGGTGTGCACAGCTTGTGCAAGCAGCGCAGCTCCGGTGACATCTCAATCTAAAGGCTGCAGTAGCAACCGGAATAGACCGCCTAGAGTCTAGAGCGACTAGAGCATCACACAAAGAGGCAAGAGTCCAGTATTGGAGCTTGACATGGTTGCCGCTTCACACATCCAGTTAGTTCGATCGAAAGCTCGATGGCATTGGCACAGTCTCCTGCCAAAGCACAGGTCACAGATTAACAGCAGCCTACAAACCAACAAGTGCGGGACACTGCCATGGGTGCAAATCAGAAGTGTACCCCCAACGAGGAGTCCTGACTCGTCAAGCTGCTCCGCACTGGTCTCGTTGCATGCAGCAGTTGCGTTGCAGTGCCTGGGCTGACAGAGGGGCTCAACAGAATTGACAACGAGGCTACGCAAAAAAGCTCTGTGTCTCTGCAAGCTGCTTCAAGGGCAAGCCAGTGAAGTCCGACGTGCACTGCCACTCGCCACCCTTGCCAGCAGCTCCCACAGTTGGTTGGCGTGCCTGCGTCTCGTGACTGGGCGAGTGCATGAAGCGAGCTGTCGCGCTTCATGACAGTGGGCAGGCTGTACAAGAGACACACCCGAGACGTCGCGCACATCTGCAGGGGCACAGAACAGAAATCGAGCCAATGAGTATTGATCATACTCATCAAACAGTTTCTGCCTGCTGCCAAGGCTCCGTCTTGATCAGCTGGTAACCCGGTGGGGCCATTTGCGGGTCCGGGCATCGAAGCTCACAAAGCCTCGGCAGCTCGCAGCAAACTTGCGACCAAAGCAGCGGAAACCACAGGCATGTCAAGAAGCGGAGTCTTGTGCGGGATGGGTGCCTGAAATCGATCCTGGGCAAGAGAACATGTTCAAAACCAGGAGGTTCCGAGATGGAACCTCACCCGTGACTCAGGCAGTATTGCTTCTGCCGGTTTTGCCGCGTAGCCGTGTTCCCAACGGGGCAAAGTGCTTCCACCACATCTCCAACAAACGGCGGCCGGCAACCGATAAGACATGCCTGGAGCGCGGAACTTCAGCAAGAGCCCCAGCCGTCTCGAAGCCCCGACAAAGCTTCTCGATAGAAGCAGCAGGCCGTGCTAATCGCAGAGTCTACAGCCACTTGTCCCCTTTGGGCTCTCCCTCGTGGCCTGGCCAGGACCCAAGGCTGCACATCCCGAAACATCGATTTCAAAGCCTCGCATGGCGCTCGGAGCGGTTGTGGCCCTGTTCTTTCTGTGATGTGGTTTCTCTAAGACTCTGTGGTCTTCAAGCATCTTCAAGCCTTCTCCAGCTTCCTCCAGCCACTCCCCGCGTGCAGGAGGCAGGGCCGGAAGCCGCACCTGCCAGCTTCCGCTCGAGTTTTGGTCAGTCTGAGCTGAGTTCGGTAGAAGCTAGTAGAAGCACCTGGAAGTCCATTGCAAATGCTTGCAGCGGCACGCAAGGCTCCAGCCGGCTGCAGCCAGACATGATGAGCCTTGCAAACTTGCAGCTTCCAACTGCGAGGCCAGGAACATCACAAGTGAACGGCTTGATCTACGATGTCCCTCCAACCCATGTCCCGTCACCACCTCGCCACACCGCACTGTTGCCCCTGGCATCTGCGAGCTGGACGACAGGAGGGAATCTGGTGAGAAAGCTCGCGTGTCTGAGCAGGCGAATTGTGAAAACTGCACGGGCGACCCTGGCAGGAGGAAGTAGTTGACACGTGACCTGCGGCAGAAGCCAGGTCAGACCCATCCAGTCGCAATGCAGTGCGGGGGGGACGGCGGCCTCCGCTGTGCCGGCATAGCCGGGGTTGCAGATCCATCCGCTGCTGTCTTGGCTACTGCCACCTGTTCATTGAAAAAAATTCAGGGTACCATCTTCCTGCCCTCGTCGACGATTGCATTCTGCACGAGGCCTTCAGGATTTCGTCCATACGCCGGCTCTTCTTCCAGTGTGGGCTCAGGGCACCACAGGCCTTAGAGTCTTAGACAGATCGGAATGCTTCGAGCCGGCAGAGTCTGCCGAGCAGTGCCACATGGAGAACAAGACCATGGGTTTACAGCCACTGAAGACTGACCACAGAGCAATCTGCGAGTCTGAAGAGCTCTGAGTGTGACCGACCTCGTGAGGTCCTAAAGCACATGTCGGGTTTTCCCGAGGGCGGGCCCAGACACGGAGAACTACGGTTTCGCCCCATTGAGTTGCAGGCTACACACCGGCGGGGTCCACACCAATCCTGTCAGGTAGTCAAATGGAGAATTCGGCCACGGGAACCCGCCACAGAGGGGCTCCCAAGGATCCCAGCCTCCGGTGGTGTTGATGTTGTCGAGTGGGCAAGACGTCTGCACGGGACTGCCTCAAGTGGCGGCGACCAGGCGAAAAATCCCAAACACTGGACAACGAAAAGAGCATAACCCTGGTCACGACCTTTGGGTTCAATTTTCTGTAGATTCCTCCTCCTATCTACCACCCTCTTGCTTCTGGTCGCTTGCCACAGGCCACGGCACCTTGGTAGAATGGTGAAAGGCATCCAATTTCGCAGCTACCACCCGGAGCCAGCGAAGACCCGCTACACGAGGAAGCATCATGGAGACCTCGCACTGGCTGAGGGTCAAAGCCGAACTCTTAGCCCTCAAGTTTACCGACAGATCTTCATCGCACTGGGATCTGGGCAGGGATCAACAACCGGCGGCTGGCACGGAACGATTTCAGCAACAACCTGCACACTGGGGACCCAAGCTTGGATCAAACCTACATGGAGACTCTGCGGACCGTGCCTTGCAGCCTGTGAACACTGCTTCGGGGTAGCAGGCCGGACCTGATCAGCAGAGGGATCACAGAGACGATCTCGCGAGAGCCATGACTCCCAGAGCCGCACTGAAGCGCCCTTTTTTACATGGTTTTCATTGGCACTACGAGGCTGTCTGGGGTCTTGGGCAGTACAAGTAACACAACAGCGACACAAGTGTTCACTAAACACCAGCAAGAACACTACACCCAAGTTTCCAAGCGACATGGAATCAGACTCTTTGACATAAAGGACGGTCAAAACGTGGTTGCAGTGTGCTTCTTGTCATCAATACTATACTATAGCATTAAGTTGTAAGTTTCTATCTGGTCCCAGGCCTTCTGCAGTATTCCCCAAGGATGTGCCCGAGAAGGCAAGACTCGTGCAGCTGCGGTCGACGGTGCCTCGCCGTACCATTGTTCTGAGTACTGTAGTACTGCAGCTGCCCGTTAGGATGCTCTCCGAAAGACTTGGGCCTATGTAGTCGCGGTCGCAGCCATAGGTGCCGTTCCTTCGAACGGGCATCGGCTTCTTTGAATGCTTCACGTGGTATGGCACTGTTTAGCGCAATCTGAAGAGGCAGTTGACATCTCAACTGGCAAGGAGCACACAGCTTACACAAATCCCCAGGCTAAGTTTGGCGATGGCACGGATCGCCAAATCCCAATCTGAAGGAAAAGTACGTCAGCTACGAATGTTTGTGTTGAGGGGCCTGTCTGTGCAAGTCTGGAGCATCTCCAGCATGTGCTGCCCTCAATATTGCAGCTGAGTTTCTCATGCTGCACAAAACCTCAGGGACAAACAGCACAATGCTTTAACAACCCTGATGGACAAAATCACAGTTGCATTGATCTTTTCTGACAACAAGAACACTCGAAAGTCTACTCACCCAGGAAGAACGGTCCAGCAAAATCTGTGCTTAACACGTTGTCTGAGCGGCCGAGTGGAAGCACAGCTGGATCAGGACACACAGGGAAGCTGCAGGCCCTCGGGCCACATACCACACGCGGAGCATGCGGGCAATGAAGGCAGAGAGCAAACCAGCACTGTGGCCAAGTCCAAGGTTGGATTTAGCCAGGCATCGGAAGGACGAGCTCAAGCCCTTGAAGTGCATCTGTGTTCATCATGGGGCACGTTGCCACGGTGGACCTGGAGCTCTGGACGCGGAGCGGAAGACATGTCACATGTGGTGCACTATCGCCCTGCGCCCAATGGTTGGTCCCCTTGTGATGGTGTTTCCCCTTCCGGGATTGGGCCGGGCTTGGGTCTGCTTGGGGTCTTTGGTACTATTATCATGGTTGGTTTGGTTCGGGCATTGCTTGGGGTCTCTGGTATATTGTCATCATGCTTCATGCTTGCGGTCTTTCCTCCTCTTCAAGGTGTGGGCAAAGGATGCGTGGGGCGTGAGGACATGGGGGTTAGGGGGCAGGGGGGCACCGGGGCGGAGGAGGTCGGCGAACAGAGAGCCGGGATCAGATATTGTCGTATGCTACAGTCACCTGCTTAAGCAGTTTTTAAAACATCGATCGAAGGCTTTGATGAGGTACGACAACACAAGCCGGCGAACACTCTTTCGCCGGGCTGCGATCCGGAATAGGGCGAGATACAGGAGACGCTGCAGGAGCTGCCTCGCATGACCTGCTGGCAATCAGACCTCAGTCTGAAACGTGGAGAGGAGAGGATTATCGTCGAGCCGCCCCGCGAGCATTCTCGGGTCTCGGTCGGCCAAGGCGCACGTTGAACTGGCAAAGGTCGACCATGGGAGTCAAGCAGTCAGCCAGAGGAAAGCAGCCAGAGAGAAGCAGCTGCGGGCTCCCACCTGCAAAGAGGCCATAGAGACCCAGGCCTACGAGCTTTTCTCAAACAAGTGTGCCCTTGACAGCTGAAGTTAGGACATTCATGTCATCTTACGTCCATAGCATTGCATAACATGATTATGGACGCACCCGGCTCAGGTGGTGGGGTGGCTACCCCGCTAGCCCTCAAGCAATTCGACCAGTCCGCTACTCATCACCACAGTATTCTATGCTGCATGCAGTGGTCCTCTCAATTTGCCAAGGGCCCCCGCATGGATCTTTGTCAAACTCCAGATAGCAATCTTCTCGCACAGTGCCACCGAAACCATCATCACCTCAACACGCCAGGCACAGCGCACTGAAAACACTTGTCAGCAGCTTGTGTCATGGGTGAGATCGGCTCGATTTGCTGCGATGAGGGCGTTGCCCCCGAGACGCAAAGAAATCGGCTGTCATTCCATCTGTCAAAGCTAGGTACACAGAAGAGCCCCAGTGCGATTGCATGCTTGGCTGTCAAGGTGACCTTTCCGCACAAGCTCTCCCCCTCTGACTGAATGCCTTCTCTGAAAATCGTATTTCATATTATGTTCAAGTCACATTCCCAGCCCGTGTCGTTCGCTTTCCGTCGAAATCCCACGACAGAGATGGATTCCAATTGCGAACAGTCCTGAGCTTGCACTTCACCAGGATGGTAAAGAGCTCATGCCGGTCAGCCTTCGTTCTGCATCCGCTGAATGTACTGCGCTTCAACCCCAACATGAATAGAGCACGCTCAGCGTCCACGATGCAGGTTGGGGGAGCAAGCGTCGGCAGGAAGAAGGGATCGCTGTTGAGGGACGGACAGCTTGCCTGCCAGGGCGTGGCTCAGAGGCTCGGAAGCCGTTGCAATGTGCGTCCCATGCTACCTCGCCGGACGTGCCGGTGTAGGGGTACTTGCAGTGGATGTCGCACGAGTCGCCAGCCTGAGCTGCAGAGTTCGGAGAGGTTTGCCGGCAATTTTCAAGTTGTTGCATCCGAGTAGCGGGAATGCCCGCACTGCAATTAGAGGAGTCAAGCATGCAGGTGTCCAATGGCAAAGGCACACACGGCACCTGCGAGTCAGCCGTTGCAGCCGTATCAAACGAATCTTCTTGAGGTCGGGTTGATAACCAGAGCTGAGGGGCTGAGATGACACAAACATAAACAACCGACAAACCTGTGCGTGTGTGTGACTGAAGACGGATGAGGCGTTGCCATCTGCGCAAGAAAACCCATGGCCTTGCCGATGCACCCCGTGAGGATTGTAGCAACGCTGCAGTTCACGATGCCTGCACATAGCTCCACTACAGCACCACCGGAACAGCACCACCGGAATCAAGACTCATCCATGTCACATTCACTCACAGCTGTCGCTTCCCAGATTTAGCGGCTTGCGCTCACTTCACCTCATTTCAGAACATGAACATGCAGCCGCTCCTGCTGTTGCATCGGGCAACGTAGCATCACCTGTAGCGTTCGGATAGCCGTTTCAGCGACATGCACGCCCGTAACGGACGCACAATGCGATACTATCTTTTCAACACTGCTGCCACATCGTATAAAGCAAAGCGTGGCGTTAAATTAGAGGTCGAAGGGAGTCTCTGGCTGACAGACAGGCGCGACGAGGCGACGACGACAACGACGACGACGACGATCACCACCACACCAACAACCTCGGCAACGACCACGGGAAGCAACAGCAACAGCAACAACAACAACAACGACGACGACGACAGCAGCAGCAACAGCAACAGCAACAGCAACAGCAACAGCAACAACAGCAACAGCAACGGCAACGGCAACGGCAACAGCAACAGCAGCAGCAGCAGCAACAGCAACAGCAGCAGCAACAGCAACAGCAACAGCAGCAGCAACAGCAACAGCAACAGCAACCACAACAGCAACAGCAACAGCAGC